GATTTCGCAATACCATTTCGTTTTCGCGAAAATTAACGACAAGTTTTAACGGATCGAGTGTATCTTTTTTCTCGCGATCGAATGTATACTCATCACGTTAACAAGAGAATTGCACACTTTGTCTGTATACGATATTTATAATAAATTTTTAGAAATATTCGAAACGAGTTTTCGAAGCAATAACGCATGGGATTCGAAGGAAAAACATGGATACGACGAGACATAGAGGATCGAGTGAAAAATGCTTTTTTTTTTGTTTCCCTGTCACAATCGCTCGATTACCGATAAATTATAATCTTTTACCCGTTTTATTTTATCGGCGATATTAAATGTTAGATCTTCATTGAAATTACAACAAAACAGGCTCGTGCACACGAATAGCTTAATTCGACGACGTTAAATTATTATCGGCGCAACACGTAGTCCTCGATTTTTCACGCGATCGACGTATTCCTGTTAATTTAACATCATCGAACGATGATAAATCGCGTACGTGATGCTCGCGTGCATCGCTCTATCGATCATTCGATTTCATCTTTTGAATCGAATCGCGGAATCAAAACGCGAGCACGTATCCACGCGCGCGGGTCAAACTATCGATATCGCAGTCCAATTCTCGGCGACAAAGCGGTTCCACTGTGATTACCCCGGTCACCCCGATGAAAGAATGATCTAAGCATCGCGCGTTTTTCGACAACGTATATTCGCGCGTGAAACTACAAAGGAAAATTGGGAATCGATCCCGCGAGCACGCCCCAACGATTCGCTCATTGTTCTCGAAAGCGAGCCCCGCTCCAATTGGTCAGCTTTTGTATCGTTTCAAACGATTTCCACGCGAGATCGTGCAACTATATCTAATTTTCCTTCGAAAAATCCGGACGGCAACCGAACAACTCGACGATAAGACGTCCATCCCCGTCACGCGCGCCATTCTTCGACCGATCGTCGTCGTTCCATCGATAAAAGGAATCTCGTTGAACGCTGTTGAACGTCCGTGAACCTTCTCGCGAATATTTCTTCCCGGAGCGGTACATCAAAAGAGTTTTTGCTCCGCGCACGCTTTCGAGCGGACGCTTCCAACCGTTCATCACCGGTCCAGTGATTTAGATTATAAATTTCGTACGCAGCTCGTACGAGGGAAAAAGTGGGGGGGAGAAAGAACGCTTGAAACGAGTTCAACCATTCCTCGCGATAATCAATAATTCATTATTATCACCAGTGGTGATTTACTCCGAGACAGAGACCTATAATTAATTCGCCGACAGTTAAATACAGTTTTGACAACGCGTCACTGTTCAATAAACTCGGCAAAGCGACCGTTTGAACGCAACAAACGACACCTTTGTATATGTGGCTGCTCGTATATATAAGATATGTCTAAATAAAATAACCAATCGAACGATTAACGTTGCCGATTTACCGTTCTATTTAACCATAGCGCGTGTGTTTCGCACGGCCTAGGCTCGCCTTCGTTCGTGGACCTTTCGCGTTATATTAAGACCGATGTGATTCACACGAAACGAAACCGGTAACAAACGAGTGGAGTAGCGGCCAACGAAGAATTATTACATTCGTAACGCGCTCGTCACCGGTTCGTTCCATTGCTCCCTGTTCCTCTTCTCGGTTGGGTTGCTTCGGCCGGTAACCTATGACTCACACACGAGAACCATCGTTGAACGGAGCACGTACCGAAGATTAGATAATTCTCGTTACACTAATGCCGTGCGTGACACAGCTCCGGATCCCGGCTCAATGAAAAGTGCCTCGTGCAATCGTGTGCAGGTACCAGAGATTCGTACGTACATGCGTTCCATGTACGTTTTACTCCGCGCGATTATTACGCTCGCGCACACTCGTCCGGATTAATAATACGTCGGGATGAAAATGTAAAGGTCGATGGGTGGGTTGGTAATACGAGCCAACTCGTCCAATATTCTTGACACAAATATCGATTATCCTTATCCTACGAGCCGTGTTTTATTCGAGAAAATTAATAAATTTTCGTCATTTGAATAGTTGAATGACGAATTGGTGGCTTTAAGAGGATCGAACAACGTTATAATTTAGGAAAGCGATTGAAATCTTGTTGAAATCGGGGGATAGATGCTAAGAGTGTGATCCGCGGAAATTTCACCATGTTTCGCGAAAGAGTTGGAGCAATTTCGGAGTTTGCAATTGACGCGAGAATGATGACGACGATCGAGCAATAAATCGTCGATATCACAATGAGCACGTACCGTGAGCTGTTGGCCGTTTAATGTAATGGCGCAATGAATCATGCAAAAACTTATCGTGTACGACTGAAGAGATGAAGGAATGCATGTTTTCATTAGTCACTGTTATTTGCTGCACCCTTGTGGATGCGTCGTGATCCAACCCTGACACAAACGCAGCCTTGAGCAAGTATTATCGTGCGTTTTGCTTTTATCGCAGTCGGGAAATCTTATGAGACTTGTGTCACAACTTTTGAAATGTCATTTTTCTAGAGATTTACAACAATCTCTCTCTTCCTCTCTCGAATACTAATCTAAGTATTTACGTACATCAATCATAGTATTTCAAGCAAATTGATCTTTTCTTTGGGAAATGAAATAAAGTTTTGAAAAAAGAACTAGAGTCGAAAAATCAAGAGTTATAATAATCAAATATATATATATATATAGCTACATATATCTACACATATATAAGAATAAAATAATTTGTTTATATAATCTGAAAGTTTCTTCGAGCAAGCATTATAATAAATAAAATATATTCATTAAAAACAAATAAATATATATTCACAATTTTTAATAATAAACTCTCTTTAAATAAGAGAGTATTGAAAAAAAAGATAATAAAATGATAGCTAGAAGAGCTATCATTCAAAATATGACAATCGTTTATTTAAAACCCGAAGAAATCATAAATAAATATTTTTTAATTTCGCGACATTAATATGCTAAATTTAAAAAAAAAAATCACGAAGAGTGCGATTCAATTTTGAAAAAAAAATAACAAAAAAAATTACAAGATTCCCGAGTAGGATACATTATCAATGCAACATTAATAATTTAATGCATGCACTCATTTCTAAATATTAATATTAATTTCGATAGCGATATTGACGGATCCAATGCAGTCATGTCAAACTGCTATCGTTGAATTATGCTTGTGTAGCTTATTTTGCTACACTTAGCTGATCTAGAAACAGAAAAATATTTCCACAATTCCAGTGGAAGACCATTGGGCATTTTATTAACGCAACACTAATTCTTAAAGTGAATACAAAATTAAAAAATTAAATATCCCGATATCGCAACGCTATATGATAAGTTCAAGTTTAAATAAAAAAAATTTAAAAAATAGACTAATTTATAATAATTTATAATCAAACTAATTAAAAGGAATCGCGATATTTTTTGTAACGCTACACTAATTTTTAAAATAAATTTAATACAAAATTAAAAAATCAAATATCCCGATATCGTAAATCGCTATAAATTCAAGTTTAAAAAAATAAAAAAATAGACTAATTTATAATCAAATTAATTAAAAGAAATCGCGATATTTTTTACAACACTAATTCAAACTGTTATCGCAATACTAATAATAAAAGATTTGCCCATAATGATTGGATGAACAATAGGCCAGCATGCAAATTGGCCATAATACAACAATATATACAACTACATATTACTAAAACGAGCACAGTGACAAAAATAGTAATGACTTCCCATCCTTTGAATCCGAACAAGATTCAAAAAATGAGAAACCATTCGTTGCAGCCCTCTTCGTGACAGTTTGTCGGGCCTCTTCGGTCTTCCTCCTTCGGGCGCAATGCCCGCTGAAACTTAAATCTAGGCTCGAGATTCACTAATCGCAAATCAAAAAAAAAAAAGAAAAATAAAAAATGACTAAATCGCGGAAACTAAGTACACATGAACGACCAACGATCGCAACGATCATTCTCCGTACATGCGCAAAATCTCGAGCATAAC